GGATGAGGTTATTTTCTAGTTCTCTCGCTAAGGCAGCATTTGAATGGTACAGCAATCTACCGGCTAACTCTATTCAAACGTGGGATGAAATGGAAGAAGCTTTCCATATCCAATTTTATAGAACAAAGACAGAAGCTACGCTGGCAGATATATCTCGACTATCTCAGTTGCCGAGCGAATCGGTTGAAACTTTTCTGGCCAGATTCAGAAAGGCCAAACTTAAGTGCCGAGTAAGTTTGCCTGAACCAGAGTATATCAAGTTAGTATTAAATGGTTTGGACATTGAATATCGCAAAAGGTTTGATGGGGTTGAATTTCAAGATCTCTTCGATTTAGCAGACAGGGCCACTCGGTATAAGAAGATACTTAAAGAAAAAAAGGAAAGGAAGAATTCCTCCAAGGGTACTTACTACAAAAACCCTAATTATAAGGTGTTCTCGGCAGAAATGGGTGATGAATTAGAAGTTGACGTTGCTGAGGTCAATATCAAGAAGCCTTATATTTATGAGGCATTGATCAAACCTAAGCCGACCACGGAGGGCAATGCAACATCAACATCGGTAGCAAGGAAAGGAGCTGCCGATACAAGGAAAATCTATTCTCTTGATTTATCAAAAATAGATCAAATCTTTGATTACTTATTGGCCGATAAAATGATCTATTTGCCTAAAGGGCATAAGTTCCATTGGCAAGTGACCTAAAACGAAAAGAGTATTGTAAGTATTATAACTCTTGGAACCATGCCACTAATGATTGTACTATTCTACGATGTGTGTTGCAGAAAGTTATTGATGAAGGTACATTAAAATTTTCGGAGAAAATATCAAATACCATGAAGGTGAATACCAATCCGTTCCCAATAATCATATCGACTAATGTGATAAGCTTAGCCGAGCGAGAAAATCGACAGGAGGCTGAGAGGATCTCAGGTGAACTTCTTTCATCAAGTGTGACATCAGAGAAGATGGCGGAATTGCAGAGACAACTAAAAGAGGCTCAATTGGCCTTGATAGACCATGGTTGTTGCCCAAATTGGAAGGGGCAATAGAAACACAAAGAAGAAAAGCCAATAGAGGTTCAACCAAAGGGGAAAGGGATTCTTGAAAGGCTTACCTTCCTAATTAAGCCCGGTAAGGAACTTCGACAGGGTAACTCTAGCAAAAGTCATATGAAGGCAGAAAAGCAGGATCGACAAGAATATATATCTAGCCGATTCCATTCCCAATATCGGCATCCTAGTTTTAAACAACATTCGCTAGTCCAATCAGAAATTTGGGTACAAAGGGGAGCCGATTCCCATAAAGTGCAAATTGTGAGGCCAAGGACAGATACAGTCGAGGACAGATGGACTCGAGTCAATCACCCAAAATTTCCTAGAGTTCAGCAACATCCGAATGGAGGCCCTACTCAAACTCAAAAACGCAGGGAACAAAGGAGGAGGGCAAGGAAAGTAAAAAAGGTAAGCCGATAAGAGTTGGTTGAGCAGGTCAATATTCCATAAAAAGATCAACCAGATGAGGTAGAAGAGCATCAACCGAAGTGGCCCAGACGCAAAATTGAGTTTAGAATTCAGTTTGGCAGTTTTCCGGATGAAATGTCCTGTAATATGGCATTCGTATTACCAGCAATGTTCCAGGCCCCATTGGCATCAACTGCGGAGACTGAAAAGAATGAGGAAACATAAGGAAAAAGTAGTGCTGAGGAGAAAGAAACTTAGCCGATTCAGAAGTTATCAATTCTTTCTTCAGAATCAGTAGAGAAAGTAGTCTTTGAGAAACCTTCGTTAGCAATGACTCAACAATTAAGGCCTTTGTACGTGAAGGTATGGGTAGAAGGCCAACCTGTCAATTGAGTCCTGGTAGATAACGGTTCGATTTTGAATGTTATCCCAGCTAGTACATTAAAGAAACTCGGTAAGAGTATGGAATATGTTAATCCCACGTATGTAACTATATATGCATTCAATGGAGGCTCAATTCTTATAATTATATTATTGTGCACAAATGAATTTTTGTTATATATTTAAGTTGTATTTTGTGACTGGTTATATATGTAAAGATATAACATGTTAGTGTATCATAGTGTCCTTGCTGCTTATCAAATTGTTTTGCTTATTAGCTATTATTATATATTGATGCGGAATCATTTTCCTTGTCGTGTATAATTACAAATATCTATATTTATATTGGAAAAAGGAAAATTGGCATTCTATCTCACTAGACGGCTGGGCAGGAAATTAAATTTCCAATTATAAAGAATTTGAATTAGAAATAAATGTTTTTATGTTTGGTAAAGTTAATTTTGTAACTCTTAACAATTAGGTGAATGGAAATTAAATAAAATTTATATTAGCTGCAAAATATACACGTTAACTTCCTTTTAGTTTTAATCAAAGTTTATATGGAAATGTTTGTTGGTATGTTATACTTTTATATTTGGATTATCTCTTAATTGTATATGCAGTGAAGTTTATTCCATATAATTACATATTTTGATGAAAAAAAGAAGAAAGAAACTGATACATTCAGTTGCTATAGAAACGGCTCATACAATTTACTACCTTTGTAAAGGTAAATGTAGTGAGTATATGCATTAATTTATTACACGTATATGTATGTGTGTATATGACAGCTACTATTATATGTATTGAATATGGTTTGTATTGAAATACAAATATCTTATCATTAAAAATAAAATTTGAAAATAAACGGTTATTTGTAATATAGCATTTTATATACTATTTAATGAAAAAATGGAAAAAAAAAAAACAAAAAAAAACAAATTGACGGTGGAGATTAATTGACCCATTTTGAATGGAGATGTTTAATGCGTTCAAACTTGCCTAATTATGTTTTTACAAGGATATTTACTTTACAAGGATATTTACTGATCCAGTTATTTGTAATAGTTACTGTTATATTTACCTTTATATATCTAATTATTATTCTATTACCCAGTTCGGATTCTGATGCTCAGTTGTTGTGGGATAGTATTTGGTCCTGTAAAATTCAGCCCAAGATCCAACATTTTTTGTGGCGGTGTTGTAAGCTTGTTATTCCAGTTCATAAATGTCTCCTTGGTCATGGTCTGGCTATTGAGCTGTGTGCCCCCGTTGGGGTTTGGAGGAGGAATCTATTGAGCATTTGCTTCTATTGTGCCCTCAGTCCGTTCAGATTTGGAAGCTTTCCCCATTGCGGTTTGATTTGGTTGTTGATAGCCCTTCTTCCTTTGCCGAATGGTGGTAGGGTTTGGTTCGTCAATGGGGGCGCCAGGAGGGGGGGGTGAATATGTTGGGGTTTGTTGCTTGCTGTTGCTGGTTTATTTGAAAGGCTTGTAATAAGCTTGTTTTTAATGGCGATGGCTGGGCTGCCCAACAGGTGGTTAATTTGGCATGTTCCTCTTTTTGAGAGTTAAGAATGCCCCAACTTTCTTGCATGTGGGAGTACCTCGTGGAGTGCTTGGAGCCAGAGCTAGTTTGCCGGTGTCCTCTCCCATGTCACGCGGGTTTCCTCCTTCCCCGGGTTTTGTTAAATGTAATGCAAACGCTTCCTTTTCTTTTTCGTCCCAAGTGGGGGGTGGGGGAGCGGTCTTTCGAGACTCTTGGGGTCAAATTTTGCAGGCAGTTGTTTTTAGTCCTTTCTCTGCGTCCAGTGCGACATCGGCGAAGGCTATCTATCTTCGTAAAGCAGTTTTTTGGGCTATGTCTTTTACTTTTGATTATGTTTGGTTTGAGTGCGATTCTATAGTTGTGGTTAAGGCTGTGTCTGGGGTTGATCCTGGTCCTACTGAAATTCATGCGATTTCTTTTGATATTAAAGTGGCGCTTCAGAGTTTTTCCTCATCTTCTCTTAGCCATGTTCATAGGCATGGCAACGAGGTTGCCCATGCTCTTGCAGCGCTATCTCGAAGTCATATTCCAAAGGATGTTGCTCTTGTCCATCTTCCGTTTGATATTTGTCGCTTAGCAGCCATGGATTGTATGTCTTGATGTGTTTGTCCTGTTTGCCAAGTTAAAAATATATATATATTATTCTATTATAACTGCTTGATTATTTTCTTAAATGCTATAACAATGGGCAATTTCATTGCATTGATGGGTGAAATACTTCAGTTATATATTTGAATTCCTGACCACCATTGCCTGTAATTTGTATTACTAAGGTGTGTAGTTTTACTTTGTGATGCATGGCAAATTAAGCTTTTATTTACAATGGAAGAGCTGATGGAAGGCATTAATTATCTACAAGTGAGAAGGAAGATCATGTTTGGAATTGTGATTCGAAGAAATTAAGCAACATTGCTATGAATGGTGGCCAGACTCTTTTGATTGTTAAAACCATGTTATAGCTCTAAAAGATGGACTTTGGCAACACTGGATACCACCAGGAATGCAAGACTACAATAATATTACTTAAAAGTAACTTCGAAGTGTAGCTGCAAAAACTGGCTATCCTTTACTATTTGTGCTCAGTGAATATAGAGAGGCACACCAACCCAATGTTTTTTGTGAACAACATGGAGGCCACCAACGCTATCTTAAACGAGTATAGTCAGAAAAATTGAGTTTATTGAATACTTATCATACCCAAGGTTATGTCTGGATGATAGATGCATATATGTCAAGCACGCACTATGGTCACTGCATAGCCCTAAAGCCTCATAATAATTCAGATAAAGACATTGTTTTGCCGTTGAAGGTTAAGTCTCTGACTTGAGCCAAACTGGATGATAGAGGCATGCCAAGTATTCACTCTTCGTGCATACTTTTCCGATGAACGTAATTGAAGTACATGTAACAAAAAAGTGTATAACAAATCATAATATGACTGAAAATAGGTTTATAACCCCCCTTCAAATTGGGGGAAATTAGAATCGTACAAAAATATAGAGGGAGGGGGGGTTTGGTCCTGACCAGTACACACCAGATCCTGGTTGATTTTACAGAATAAGTTTTAAACAAAAACCAGGAAATGAACCCCAAAAAGTTCTCTACCGTGAGATGTTCGACCAACCATTTCTACACAGTTTTCATTTTGGTAAGCTTCCTCGGTCGCCTTATCATCATTGTATTCTTCATCCCTATGAAAAACAGCAAGGCTCCGAAAAGTGCCATATTCTGAAATACCAACAACACACATCATCAAAAAAAAAAAAAATCACAATGATAAGAGTTTGCCTCAGATTACAAATAAATAATAACCAGCAATATTGCTTGCCTGAGTAAATTTGATGAACAGCTGAGTAAATTCTCTCTCGTCAATTTCATAGTTGTAAAAATCATATAAAATAGGAGTAGCAATCATCTGATGCAAAAGCTGCACAAGGATGAAAATTTCAGCACTCGAGAAATAAATCAGTACCTTAAGATCAAAAACTGTGGCTTCTTATCAGACCAAGTCAATGTAATCAGTTTGAACACAAACCAGGAGATATGCCCCGAGAGAGCTGCCAAATATGAAAAATATGCCTCCAATGCCCTTTAGAGTCATAGCTGCAGCAACTAAATGTTTGATCTGTGGCATGAAAACTCCCAAAATTATATAAACAAAAAATATAGTGCCGCTGAAGCAAAATAGATTTCTGGTATATAGTTTTTGTTGTTATTCAACATCGTTAATTGTATAAATATACTCTGTAAATTTCAATGATTAAAATTGATTTGTGCTTGCTTAGTGCTTGCTTAGTGTTTTAATTTTTAATTAGAACATGCTTATTTTTGAAGGATTTTTCCATCTCATCTATAACAATAACCCTTGGAAGAATGAAAGTAAGCAGTAAGCTCATATGAAGGCATTCCAAATCAAAATTATTACGATTGTTGTCTCTTTACAATTTGCTTCTGGTCATGGTTTTGGTGTCACTTCAGGCCATTTGGTCATGGTTTTGGTGTCACTTCAGGCCATTTGGTCATGGTTTTGGTGAACAACCGAAGCCAAAAGACCCTCAAACAGGAGAGGGAGCAAAATCAGCCTCAGTGACTTCCAAAAGCCAATTAGGCCAAACATCCCAATAGGGATCAGCTTGTCTACAAGCTAAGGCCCATTTGGCCAAACTGTGGGCAACCACATTCGATGATCTAGGAGACCAGCATAGAGCAAAATGAGAGAGTAGACCAGTGTAATACTTAACATCACTCAGCACAATTGATAACCAGAGGATTTTGAAGAGATAACTCCATGACAGACCTACAATCACCCTCAATATCAACTGACTCATAGCCCTCCTAGATAAGAGCTTGATGCACTCTCTGAGGACAACAGCTTCACCCATTTCTGAACACGAGAAATCTCCACAAACAGAGTCGCAAGTCTTATAGGATAACCTCTACAATCACGCATGATCAAACCAACCCCACTCGAAAAACTTCTCAAGCAAAGCAAAAGGAGGTGTCAATATTGAGCTTTAGGCAACCTTCACTGGGTCTAGACCAGTGAGATTGGGGAGCAATGGCCCGATGAGGAAAACCACTTAGGCAAATCTGTTGACGAGTAGCCTATGAAAATTCCATTAAATTAGCCACAGCTCTGCAAACAATATCATCAGGCTGTTCAAATATAGTCCTCCTTTGCTTTGCAAGTTAGAGAAAAGGTTCCGGTATTTGAATATACACCACTAACCATCTAAAGCCCCGTCACAGCTTTACCCAAGATTGTTTTCCAAAATTTCTCTCTTCTTTTGCTTTATCATATATATATAAACTCTTATTTGCTTTTCCTAAAAATTTCTGAACCTTGAAGAATTCGATTTTTCCTAAATTGCATGTTTGTGGTGTGAGAGAGAGACAGATACTTACTTCAATTTGCGGAATTTCTATGCCAGCTTTAGATGTTACATGTTGAGTGAAGACATTAAATTTTGGTTTAAGAGCCTCTGCAGCTGGTCCTCCAGTGGTCCCGAATTCGTTAAACCTAAAAGGATAAACACATCATTAAATTAAAATCAAGGCATCTCAAAGGTAAATAATCCTTACCAGTAATCAGAAAGGCAAACAAAGAGGGGATTGCACATTATCATGGATCCCAAAAAAAAAAAATTATACTCTCCTCTGGTCATCCAATTTTTCATTATTTCTCCCTTTAAAATGGAATCAATCTACTAAAGAGATATTTAAGAATCTGTTCCTCTTCTTCCAAACCAGATAGTGCATTATGCTTTACAATTTCTACCTCATAGGCGTAAAATTGGTTCACAAATTCTACCTAAAGGCTACAACTCAACATAGCTTTTTACCCACTTTGGGATCATCTATGGTAATTCTATTTTTCCTTTTTACTCTATCTAATGTCATATCTATAGCCATTAACCTCTCAATGTGAACCATGTCACTCTTTCTTAACTGGTGCCAATGATTCTTTTCACATGTCCAAAACATCTTAATCGTTCCATTCTATTTTCAAATGGTGCTACTTCAACCATCTAACAAATGGATTCATTTCTAATTCGATCTTTTCTTGTATTGTCGCGTCTCAATTCTCAATATTCTCATTCCCCTAACACTCACTTTATACAAATTAGAGCTCATAGGTGTAAAATTGGATAATAAATTATTTTGAGCAGTAAATTTTATCTTTCCAAGACAACTCTCTCTCTCTCTCTCTCTCTCTCTTACAACTTACATTATTCTAGAGGCTTCTTAGGAAATGTTTTGAATAATTTCAGCATGAAGATATGATGGATAAATTCAAACACACAAACAAATAGTTTCACATAAAAATCAACAGAAAGTTCTTTTTGAAAAATCAGCTTGTATGATATCAAAGTTTGCAAGACAATCCCAATCTAAGATTGTAGTGTATAAGATATTGAAAAACAGTACTAATTAACACCCAGTTATACACCCACCCAAACAATAATAAACTAGTCATATATGAGTTTTCCCAAGCTTCAAAATACCAAACCAAATAAAAAAAGGTCTTAATTCAATTTCATTATTTAGCTTTAGCATATGCATCACAATATTGACCACATGGCTTCACTGCTAGCCAAACACAAATTAATTACACAATAAATTGAATACACAAGCTTCCACAAGCTTCGCCATTGCCAAATCGGAATAATTAGCAAATATATAGTAGACAATAAAATCCAAAAAAAAAAACACACACACACCCACATGGCATTCAAATTTCTACAAAAATTAAATCATTCAAGATCCAAACAATGAAGAGACGAATCTGAATCAAAGCATTCAAATATCTACTAGATCCAAGTAAATCTTCAGCAACTTAACTTCTAAGTCAAATAAATTTTTCCCTTTTTTTGCCCAAAAAAAAACTGCTCAGATAGCTAAAGAATTTAAGAAGAGATATTAACAAGGAGAGTAAAATAAATAAATAAAATAAATTTGAAAAGGAAAGAGCAGATGATAAAGGGGATAGATTAGTAGGTTTACTGACTCCTGATATGCAGAGAGGATGAAGACAGAGGCGAAAAGAACTCTCCCAAGAAAAGACGCGAACGCCATAACCTAATCTGATTCAAACCTCGACACAAGCAAGACTGACTCTCTCTCTTCTCTGTGTGTGTGTGTGTCTCTCTCTCTCTCTATATATATATATATCTATCTTCTCTGTGTGTGTGTGTCTCTCTCTCTCTATATATATATATATATCTATGTGTGTGTATTGCAGGAGTCAATGAGACTTGTTTTGGGGGGCAAAGATGGGGAAATGAGTGGGGTGAGGAGGGCAAATATGGATAGATCTGAAATGTCTATGATTTGCTGATGCCGCTTCTCTCTTTTAAAAAGCATGGGCGCGTAAAATTGACAGCTTGGCCTGTCCTTCCTAAAATACCCTTCCCTTGTAAGAAAAGTCATAGTAGTATATGGTAAAGAAGAATAATGATAGGCTAAACGAATTTTAGGCACGGAAATTATTATTTCCATTCTTTAACCATCTTACATAGGGGTGATCACGGATCGAATCAGATAGGATTAAGTATCATTTCTAATCCGATCCGTTCACAACGAATTAGAGAATGTTGAATTCGCCACCAATTTGTTAGTTCACAGATCAGATCGGATCGGATTCGTGAAATGACGGATCGGATCGGATCCAATTCGCGGACTAAATTTTCTAAATTAGTCTATTTTTAATTTTTTACCAATTTTATATTCAATTACAAAAGTGTAAAATAGAACATAGATTAACCCAATTTAAATGCATAATAACAAGAATAATCAAACTGTAAAATATTACATAACCAAGAGGACAGTAGTTATTCAAATTATCCGAAAAAACAGTAGAACTATGCCAATATTACATAACAATAATAGTGAAGTGAAATAAAAAAAAGAGATATCCATGTGCCAAATATTACATAACCAAAAGTCCAAAAGTAAGAGTGAACCAAATAGGCAAATATTACATAACCAAATGTCCAAAAGTAACAGTAAAGTGAAAAAAAAAAAAAGAAAAAAAAAAAAAAAAAGGAAGTAGCATACTAGCATTGCAGTGAAAAAAAGGGTAGCAGACCAATCTCCATGAATTTCCTCAAACCGTAGACTATCAAATACTTACCAAGAAAAATAAAAAATAAAAAACGTCAGGTATGTGGCACACGGATTGCCACGGATAGAGTTGCTATATATATATTACGGATTACCCACGGATTGTCACGGATCGGATCGGATTTTTGACAACCCGATCCGTGATCCGATCCGTGAACTACAGATTTAATTTTTTAGAATCCACCACTGATCCGTAGGTCTGGTAATTCAATCCGATTCATAAGGATCGGATCGGGTTTGGGGATTGACGGATCTTTTGCCCACCCCTAATCCTACATTGCTTGGAAAGAGAAAATTATATTTAACAACCCACAGGACGATGGTTATGGTAAGAACAGAAAACACCGGTTTATACTTCTCTTTCCAAGCATTCAAATTTCATAAATATAATTTTCTCTTTCCAAGCACTGTAGGATGGTTAAAGAATGGAAATAATAATAATAATATATATATAGATATATTATATTTATGAAAGTTCTCCATTTCCATGCCTGGCATAATCTTCAAACTCTGATTTGCTCAACTTTCTTTCTGATTTTAATTTGTGCAATCTTAATTTTGAATTAGCAGTTTACAATTTGATCCCTAAAACCTCATTGTGAATAATCTGAAATGGGTAGGCTTTTAGAAAGATAAAAAAATAATTTCAGATACATCAAGAAGAGGAAATTTAGACTCAAATCTTAGAGAGGGAGAAAGTGAAGAGATATTAGAGAAATATATGTTAATTTTTAGAGAGAGAAAAGTTAAGAGAAATTCATAGAGAGATGAAAAAAAAAAAAAAAAAAAAAAAAAAGTTAAGTTCAGACCTAAATTACACAATCCTTCTCAATAGGTATCGCTCTCACACTTTGCGCGTTCTTGCTCAAATTTTCATTGCTCATAACTTAATTCTGCCACTCTCATACTCCCGCTCTCGAATTCACTCACCTCTCACTTTAGGTGACTTAGATTCAAACCCAAACCTAAGAGAGAGAGAGAATGTCAATTTCAAAGAGAGATGTAACATGAAAAGTGAAGTTATGAAATGAAAATAAAATTTAATATTGAGTTTTATATTTGTTGAACAATTATTTTTTTCTTATAAAGTTCTTCACTACTCGTAGAGAAAGTTATATTTTGATACCAAGTAATATAGGTTTTCAAAACTTCTAAACATTGTTGATTAGAAGACACTTGAATGAATATGAATGGATGGCCAAGGATTAAAAACTCTTTTGAATATACACCTTTTAAGTACCGTATCTTTTGGAAAGGTGTGTGACGTAGCCAATACATGTAAGTCAATCATTAAAAAGTATATATACTAAAGATAACATTTAAACATATACTATTTCTTCTCCACAAATTTTGTATACATTCCTGTAGTCAAAATCTAAACACTCACTTTTTACTTTGTACAATCCTGGTGAACACTTATTCATTTTTTTAAAAATTTAAGCCTTTACATAGTGCTACATATTAGAGTTGTCGGATCAAATTTAAATCAATTAAATTCATATCTAATTTGTTAAGTTAACGAATTTTCAAATTTAGATCGTTAATGAATTATTGGATTGAGTATTTCAATCCATATCTTATTTAGTTCGGATTCAAATTATTTTTAATTTTTTATTTTTGCAAAGATTAAAATGACATGCAAACCCATAAGGTTAGATGGAATGGACAATCGTTAATATATAAAGATAGTGCATAATATAAATATATAAAAATTTAATACTAGTAGATAACTAGTATATATAACATTTTTATATGGTATATTATAATGTAATAATATATATATATATATATATATTTTAATCAAGGTAACGAATTGTAATAATATATATATATATATATATATAGCCACCCATTTATACTCATTCATTTATCCTCCTTGCAAAGGCCCTTGGTGCATGATTATATATGTGTATATATATATATATATATTATTAAATTATCATTAAAAAAATTTGAAATGTAATTCTTAATTAAATTACAAATATTTCCAAGTTGAGTAATTTACAAGCATATACTTAGTTTAGCAAGTAAACTTCAGATTCGCCACTCACTAGTAAAACTTATGGAATTCCAAATACGTGTCGGTTGAAAATCTTGGGTAATCCTAGAGTGGCTTAATCAAATTATCAATGCCCTCATCCGAATCTAATGATCATTTGATTGAAATTTCGTGTAGTGAAACTTTCCGACCAAGAGAACTATTAACAAAGTTGACATGATCGTGTAAGAGAGGAGCTTTAATTTGGCTGGCTAAAGGTCCATAATTCTCTCATGTCACCCAAAAAAAAATCATTATCACTTGTTTTCTTCTATCCTAAATTCCTAATCAAGCTTTAATCAAACTCATTGTGAACCAAATAAAATAAAAACACAAACAAACATGTACATACACACATTTGAATGTCAACATCTAGTTAGGTTGGCCGACATGGTTTTCTACAGTTTTTTCTTGTGAAGATTGTGATTGTGTCTCCAAGTTCATTCGGATTTTAAAATCTGTCTTTTGTGTTTTCAGTTGATCAATGGTGAAGGAGAGATTGGCTTTTGTGAAGAACTCCATTCACTATTGAAAAGTATTCAGAAAAAATGGAAAGAAAAGAAAAGAAAAGAAAGGTAATGGAGGGATACTGGATATTGTGTTTGGTACGAAATGCCTTTTTTTAGATTAAAAAAAAAAGAGCTAAAATTTTTAATAAAACTTTGTTAGTGCCAAATTTGCTCTTATTTTTATAAAAAGCAAAATCTATATCCTTTGGCTGTAAATCCATAAAAATTATTTCATTTCCTTTCACTAATATAATCCTTTTGCTACTGGACATTAAAACAGCTCTTTTTCTTTCATATCTAATTATCCTTTCCTTTTGCTTTTTCTTTCCCAGCCAAAGACCTGTAGGTGTGGTAGTACAATAACTAATAATATATTTTCTTTCCTCTTCCAATGAAAAAACTAATATTATTATTTCCTTTCCAATATACCATTTCTTTTTTATCATAACTAATATTATCCTTTTATACTGTATAGCAATAACTATCATCATAGTCATAATCAAGTGACATATGCCCACTTTCTAAGGGAAGTCACTTTCTATAATAAAACAGATATACATTGATGTGGACGATAAAACAGACATATAATTAAAACAGGAGTCATACAATAAAAAAGTCAAATGTGGACGATTTATTCACACACACACAACTGATCATGCGGAACAAAAAAAAGTTCATTATAAAAATTCACTTACATCATTTCCTTTTAATACAAAATTACTATTATTATTTTAAATTTAATATTTATCAATACCACTAATTATAACAATAAATGATACCCAAAAAATTTGAAACTTCATCTCTTAAAAACCACTCTCTCTCGAACAAATAATTACAAGAGACAAATAGAAAAGAAAAAAATTTAATCCATTGATCTAGAGGGTGATGTGTTGTGCAAAAAACATAAATTTTATTTTTGTGTAGTTTAATTTCCTGCTGTGAATTGGTTGACGTATGTATGATTAGAACTAAGATTTAGGGAGAATTTATTTTGTCAATAAATTTTCTTTTAGCAAATTATTATATATCTAATAATCTCTATAGAAAGTAAGGATACTTTTATTACCAGCCACTTTACTTTATATAACAGTCATGTTTTATTTATAGATTGACATCCAAGGGCAACCAAAATTAGATTCTTTTATAGCCCCTCGAACTTCAAAATGATGTAGTTACATAGACCTCCGCTACCTATGTTCTACACCACCTTGTTTGACCATTTCAAACAAATGTTGGAAAACATCCCAACATTTTTTTTCTTCCTTGGAATACTTTTTCAACATTTAAAAAATAAAAGTCATCATAACTATCCATAAGGAAAAACAACAAAGGAGAGTACAGGAGCTAACACCTTCAATTAGAAAGAAAACAACTGCACCAGAACCAAAACCAAGGAAAAGAGGCAGAAAAAAATGCTACAAGACAGTAACGGAAGAAAAGCAATGCAGACTTTAACCAAAAAAAAAAAACAAATAGCAAACAGATCAAAAGATTATAGTGCAATCTAAGTCAAATTACGTGATTGAAGGCTCGTGATTGACTTTGGATGTCACCTTGACAAAACGGGGTAAGCATACCCCATTGGAATTTGACTGACAAATAACGTACATCAGTTCCCGCCCCACCCGGGGCTTCAAAGGACCCATTATTCTATTCAAGGTCATATACCATGATTGAAGCCTCGTGATAGACTTGGACATCACCGTGACAAAGTTGGACATCACCTTGACAAAGTTTAGGAAGAACTATAAATCCAGCTACTTGCGTACAGCAATTCCAGATACATATGAAAGAACCAAACAACCGCTACTTAGCAATAATCCAGCAACAAACTCGAGAACAAAAGTTGTGTTATACTTGGTCATGCATTTACATTGAAAATACTAAATCATTATCTCCAATGATTTTGCATTCTCGAAATAAAATTGTTGCATTATTTGCAGCATTATTACATTTGTGATAAACAGGAGTAGAATCTTCAAAGTAAATGTGATGCATAGATATTATATCAATGATAATCATCAATTTAATTGTAATATGTACAATGTAATGAACGTAAGGTGGCTAATAATGATTCATCCACGAAAGTTACACACCTATATAAGTAATTCCCATCACCACCGGTCAATAGCTCATCAACCAACATAACAACAACAAAAACCACAAATTCCTCCATCAGATGGATAACAATACATCACTTTAGGCATGCATAGCAACAGAAACAGATCAGATGGATAACGATACATCACTTTAGGCATGCATAGCAACAGAAACAGAAGCACTTCATATTTATTTGATTCCGGGTCGGTGTCTAAGCTCATATAGTGTTGTAATAAACTTAAAAACTCTTTAGCTTTGTCATCACTCATCATTACAATTGCTCAGTCATATACATAAGCTTCTAACATTGTGTTTTTCCATCATGACCAAATCTAAAAAAAAAAAGTCCGTAAATAGTTTCTCTAATAACATAAAATCGAGTCACTATTTTTGAACGATACAACTAGTCTGAATCAGAACAACTGGCCAGATGAAAATAACAATAACAATAATGCGAATAATGAAACCATGACATATGTTCATTTCAGGATTAACATGTAAAAATAAGAAAAATGAAGAGACAATGGAAACAATTTCATCTAACAAGTATGATAACAAAAAAGATACTAAAAATCTAACACATGTTTCAAGCTCTCCACAAGGTGAACAAAAATGACATGCAGAGCTTTAGAATGTGCATTCTTTCCACTTATTAAAAAAAGAGAGAGAGAGAGAGAGTGTAAATTCTTTCCGCCTCAAAACAATTATAATAATTGGCACAGGAAAGCCAAATATTATGCTAACTGTTTGCTAAAAATCAACATTGATGGAAAAGATAAACTTAAATTTCTATCAATTTCAAAGTAAAAGACAAAAAAGAATAAAATGAAAAAAAAAAATTATAAGTTACCATTAAGAGAATGATCAGATAGAGCTAATACATAAGGTCGTTGCCATCATCTCAGCAACCAAACCAATAGGAAAACAATAATCATCACTTCATTCTCTAATTAATAGATTGAGTGACAAATAATTAGAATTAAACATTATAGGATTTTAGAAACTTCTTTTACATGATATTAGGGGTGCATCTCTCCAACAAATATTATTGATTTGAGTTTAGATTCAAGTACATTTTGCGAAAAACTAATAACGAAAAGAGATGCATTGAAAAGATAATCAAAATAATGTTTACAGAAATGTAGCTAGTCCAACGCAAGAGAAATAGAATATAGCACACCCAATGAGGAATTCTCTTTTCCTCTAACCAAGGGAAATGGAGAATTTTGATTGGGTGAAGGCACCATAAAGAAGGAATCCGGGGGCATTGAAAATTTTTTTCCCATTTGTGATTGTAAGCACAAACAAATTGGCATATTTTTCGAAACAAAAAAACCTGGTTCTGCTTAAACTTCCATTCCCATTTTCTACCCCCACTTGGGTTGGTTTCACATCCCGCCTGTTTCAAAAAAAAACTACCAATTTGCAAATAATTAATGAAATCAACCACAACACAAGCCAAAAAATGATTCAAAAATATTTCCCTAAATTCTTTTCAACATTTCAGAAACAATCAAATTGTCATACCTATTCATCCTAGTAATTGCCACCAATAGATAACAAACAGATTAAATAAAGAACCTATGAGGCCATCCGTTGGAACACCCTCTAATTGAAGATCACCATGACAAATTTAGTTTAGGAAAAACTAAGATAGTTGACTTGAATCAATTTCAAGCACAACTATATGCAGCAATTCCAAGCACAATGATGACATACTTCATATGAAAGAACTGACCAAACCAAACTTGATAACAATCAAGCAACAAACTTGGATCCTCCCCAGAACATAGTTATGTGATGATCATTTAAATTAAAAACAGTGTCATTATATACAATGCAAAGGTATTGCATTCTCGAAATAAATTTGTAGCATAATTACATTTTGAGGTTTCGTGATATGCAAGTGTAGCATCTTCTAAATAAATGAGTTACATAATAAATATTGCATAACAACCAAAACCACAAATACTAGCACCATCTCCAACTCTCTTTAAGCAATCTGGCCGACCCAAAAAATCAGATTTCTGAATCACTTCATGCTTATTTGATTCGGGGTTGTGTGGCTGTCTCTAAGAACATATAGTGTTGTAATCATTTGAGCAGAGAGACACTTGCTCTTCCAGTCACAAACTTCTAGCATTGCGTTTTTAAATTAATAGCGTTTTAGGTGCCCTATTTGACTAAATACATAAAAAAAACAAATACAAAACAGTTTTTCTAATAACAATTGAGAAAGAAAAGCAGATACATCCCTTTATTAGATAAGAAAATAAATTTTGGACTTAACAGAATAAAATGTCTAAGCATTAATTGGTTAATTATCATTCTTCAGTTAACTGTTTTGAACATAGTATGAAAACACCAATAACAACAATAATAATAATAAAACCACGACATGCTCATTTCAGGATTTACGAGTAAATACAAGATATTCAGAAAAATAAAAATAAAAACAAGATGAATGACGACACAAGGGAGAGATTTTCGTCTTGCTTTAAGAAATCCTCTAGCTGAAAAAAGCACAAGAATGTTAACGAAAAGCCGACCAGAAATCTAGCACAAGTTTTGAGCTCCACAGGCTGAACAAAATGACCTGCAAAGCCTTCGAATGTGCATTCCTTACTCCTTAAATAATAATGAGATTGGCACAGGTATAAGCCAAATATATTAGAAATCCCACAAATGTACTTATTTAACTATCAATTTCAAAGTAACAGGTAAAACAAGTAAGTTAAATAACATTTAGAGAATGATCAGATAGAGCTAATACATAAGGTCATTGCCATCATCTCAGCAATCAAACCAATAGGAAACAATAATCATCACATCATTCTCTAATGTTTAAATTGCATTAGAATTAAAGAACTTTATATGATTTTTGAAACATCTTTCACATGAATTTAGCGGGTGCTTATCTATCCAATTAATATATCATATAGAGGTTCATACAGTTTAGATTGAAGTACATTTTATACAAAACTAATACCCAAAAGAGATACATTGAAAAGATAATCAAAGTAATGAAGAATAATGATCCAGAAATGTAAAGTCGCTATATATCAAACTTTTCTAATGTAATTGGGCATGAATCATTTAATGTTGGTCTTAGAACCCAAACCTCTTCAAAGAAAGATCATGAATTTGACACATTTTCTTAGCTAAACACGAGAGAATGAAAACCCATATTAATTGAATTTATTCACAAGAACCCAAATCCATTGTGTCATACGGCTATACATTTTATACAAAACTAATACCCAAAAGAGATACATTGAAAAGATAATCAAAGTAATGAAGAATAATGATCCAGAAATGTAAAGTCGCTATATATCAAACTTTTCTAATGTAATTGGGCATGAATCATTTAATGTTGGTCTTAGAACCCAAACCTCTTCAAAGAAAGATCATGAATTTGACACATTTTCTTAGCTAAACACGAGAGAATGAAAACCCATATTAATTGAATTTATTCACAAGAACCCAAATCCATTGTGTCATACGGCTATACATTTTTAACATAAGAAAAGATAAACGTTTTAAGATAGAGAAATATCAATTGGATCCTTCTTGTTTACTGAAAATAATAATAATAATAATTCAAAGAAAATTGGTACAAATATGAAAATAATGATCAGATAGAGCTAATACATGAGCCACCATCATACTGGTGATCAAACCAATAGGGAAATAAATCTCCATCATCATCTCATTACTTAACAACCCCAAAAAAAACCAAAAACAAAAAAACACAAAAAAAAAAAGCAAAAAAACAAAAACAAAAAAGAAAAAGAAAACCATGCTATACTTCAAATCTATACTTCTAATTCTGTTTTGGAAATAAAATCAGGAGTGCAAGATCAACCAGCAAATATATAATACAAAAAACAAAAAAAAAACAAAAAAAAAAAAAAAAAAAAAACAAAAACAAAAAATAAGAAGGAAAAAAAAAAAAGAGATTGAACAACTAAAATAATGATCAGCTAGAGCTAATACTTGTTACAAGCCATCATATCGGCAATCAAACCAATAGGGAAACAAGTTCATACTCATCATCTCATTCTCTATTACTTTAAAAAAAAGGATTAACAATAAACAAAGCAAATTACTAATAAAAATAAAAGAAAATTAATATATTTCTATGATATTAATAAGCAATAAACCTGTTAGAAATTGACAAGACGCAGTGAGAAAATAAAAAGACAATATTTTTATAGACGAAACTGATATTTAAGGCCGAACAACAAATTGGATGATTAAAAAAGTTGACCCGTCATTGTTGTTACCTCGAGTGAACGGCCAACGGGAAACCCTAATTTACAGTTGCTCAGATTTATCAGCTTATAAGCAATAGAGGAGGCGGGGTTTTGTCGGCTACAATTTTAGGGACCGTGGGACTGAAGTGAAACCCTAAAACGAGTATTTATAGGGAAAGAGTCTAAAATTGGAATAATAATAAAAATAAAAAACTACTCCGTTTAATAAGTTACTCCTTCTCGCCTTCGAATTATGTGGCCTTGGACTGAAGTGAAACCCTACAATTGGAATAAAATTGGAATAAAAAATAGAGAAAGCTAAAATAAAAGAAAAAAAAAATTGTAAGGATAAATTCTAAAATTAGAATTAAAAAAGAAAAAAAAATTTATAATAAGTTAATGTTCTTGACTTATAGAATTATGTGTGGGACTAAGGTTGCGGACTATAGTGTGGTACAATTCAGGTTAATTTGAAAACGAATTCAAAAAATTTTTTAAAAAATTGAAACTGAACTTACCGAATCGTAAAAAATGACTCAGTTCATTCAATTTGGTTCGATTCTAAACCAACCTCTTATAAAAACAATGTAAAAAGACACTATTAGAAGTTTCCCCAAGCCGATGCTCCTTATGATGGAGAGTATAAATATTTGAATATATAATATTAAACAAAAACTATTGGAAAGTATATTGAATATATGCAATTTTTCATAACGATAGTATAAAAAAGGTCTTCCAACGCTCATACTTACTTTTCATAATTCTTTTATATATACAGCTTTTAAAAATAAGAATCATAACCGATCCGCAAACTAAAGTATTCTTATTTTTAGAATTGAAACCGAACTGAACCATTGTATAAATTTATCAATTTTATCAATTCAAACCATTTTTTGTGAACCCCTAGCTCAGACTCTCTTTTTGCGAAGCAGTCCTTTGAGCTCGTCTTTTATTTTCTCAAATTTTTATACTTTTCTCATTTGAGTGATTAAAGAAGGGTGAGAGACTCAGTGTCATGGCCATAAGGCCAACAACATTCTTTTTGGTTTTGCTCAAGGCAACCAAAAAGCTCCAATTATTTATCAGAATCCTTTCGACCAAAACATCTATTTGGTTTCCCACCATTTGCTTTTCAACTTCTTTCATTGTCTACCTCTCAATAGCATTGCACACCTGATTATTTTTCTAAATTATGGTCCAAACCATAATTTGTTGGAATGACATACAAGGTTGTTGAATTAAATTTTTTTGGATAAATTAAACTGACCCTTTAACGAGAATGACAGAGTTTTCCCCCATGTACTAAAACAAAAACAATCTTAACCTAGAGTATAACATATTATCATGTTATACATTCAGATTTTTTAGCAACAGGTCTTATCTGTTGGCCATTTCGTTCTGGCGAAAACGATGTTGTAAATCTATACCATTGTTAAACAGATTTAAAAGGCCCCCAGCAAACATTTCAGCTCTCTGTTAGAAAACGAGGAATTATATAAGAAACTACCACGAATAGGACATTGGCAATAGGCCCTTAATACCAAAAAAAAAACATTCAAAGTTCAATATGAAAAGCACTAACATTGCATTAAAAAATACAATCAAGTTGCCAGAAACTACATACAATGGTTCAAGCAATCAGTAGAACATCAAGACCATGTTTGACATCAAACACTCTGTTGCACAAGAAAGCATTTTGTCAATCCACAATGCAAGTTCATAAATGTATTCTGCCAGGGTCAATCATGACAACACCGTCATTTTGAGAGTCTTCCATGGCGCTTAAACTTCACTCAAGCAATTACCCAACACACATCAAGGCATCAGCAGAAAAGAACACTGCAATTTTCGTGCCCTGCTATTAATCTCACAAAAATCAATTGAGCTCCAAAGAAAATGGTACATCACTAAAAATTGTCCACAAAGTCAGAAGGTCTTTTTTTTTTTTTTAAAGTGCTGTTTTAGGGCAGTAATCAATAGATACAAACTCACCGTATAAAGTCGAAGAAAAAATTCATAAACTATGAAGCTAAAGCTCATTGAGCTCACAAACATATAAATTAGTTGTATAGCGCAAAATTAAAGAGCCCTAATATACATTTTCCATTTTAACAATCTAGAAATAACATTACAGTACCTGTCCGAAGGGAGGCGTCATTGGTAATAGCCACTTTCCCAAAATGGGTACAAGGAAACTAAGGGACAATATGAAGATTTAATGAAATAAATGAAATTCATCAACCTGTGTCAAGAAAGTAATAAAAGCACTTGAAAGCTTTCATTTTGGCAAGGAACAGTTACTTCTTCTTCTTCTTCTTCTTCTTCTTTACCTGTAAAGATGAGGTCAAAGGCACTGGCCTCTTCTTGGCAAATGTATTGGTTCTGCTATCCAAGTCGTCCTCGTCATCATCAGTATCACCACATCCATCTCTTGCAGACGGGGTGGATTCCAGAGTCTTTTTGGATGCATTTATTCTTCCAATATTCAATTTAGCCAGCAATTTCCTTTCAACAGGGTCATTTGAATGCCCAATTTTGGACTGTTGCACCTAGTCCTAGCCTATAGAAATGCATGAAGAAATTAAACAAACTGCCTATCATTATAATTAAAGCCACAAAAGAATAGACACACTGACCTAGCAGGTCGACCCTCTAATTCTACTTCAGCTGATTCATCTGTGGATTTGGTCATATTATTAACACATTGTTCGGCCTGTACACAAGCAGCATATAGTTGAGCAAATGAAATCTTTAAAACATAATTACCACAGGAAAGATGCGAGCATACAACAGTGCAGTCAATGTATCTGTTGCACCTCCCAATAGAAATAATAGCAAAACGTAACAATTTTATGCAAATATGAAAAACTATGAGCAATGTAGTTCAATGACATGACAAGAAAATCATAAAATCATAAATTCATTAAAATAAAGTTTACTTTGGTGATTTGGCTAGAGAAACCAACTTGGACCGAATTAAGACCCATACTTTTCCCTGGACACAAATTTTCATTGATAAAATAAATATATGATAAAATGAAAATTTTCCATTCACTTTCTTTCTTCCCTAGTAGAAACTAATCAGAAAGTTATTGATAAAATAAACCAAGCACACACGATATTAGCACCATAAGCTTAGCCATTTACTACAACCAATGGCAGAGCACCCGACATAAAATAGTATAGACACATAATCACCTAAACCGGAAACACAGCCTAGACCCTTGGCATGCCAAAGACAACATTGCCAACACTGAAGATATTGTTTGGCTCACAAAGTGGTTGGAAGTCACTGGCCAATGAATGGTTGACCTGAAACGCGAGCGTGCCATAGTCCTGAATGAAGGTTTTCTTGCCAAACTATTCGTATCGGGCCGGATCACCAACCTAATGTGATTCAGGCGAAAGTTGGAGAGTAGGAATGACCCTCTCCTTAAGGTTGCTATTGCCTTTAAGAAATGACTTTAAACATTCAACATAGATAGCAATTAGAAGCAAATTAATTAAGCAACAAATATACCTAAATCTGCAAACCTTTCTTCATTGAACTTTGGATTGATTACAATGATGAATGAATTACAAACTCTTGATTGAAAAGGAAACTAAAGTATTGAATGCTGAAAGATGAACTAAGTACTAAACTGATAGTGATAAACTGAACTTGAGCAAATAAAAGCCAAGTGCTAAGTGATATGAATACTAAAGGCTTGAACTTTAGAAATGGTGTTGGACCTCTTCCTTATGGGACTTGAGTGGGTATTTATAGAGGCTTCAACCTGGTGTTGTCCCTCTCAATCCGTTTTTCTAGAAATTAATTGGTTGCAAGTTGAAAACGACTCTCCTAACTGGTCAGGTTGACTGGCTTGCACATCTCTCTACAGGCAGATACAAATGTGTATGGCATAGTATTTTTGACTAAATGGTGCATCTTCTTTCATGCTTGATGATTTTAGTCTTCAGTCTATTTTCAGCTCTATGCACCTGTCACGCCTGGCTTGTTTTGTACATTGGCTATGGAATCATCTGATTACTGACAATTCTGACGTTCTTCATGGGATGTAGGTGAGAACCTTCCATTTGTAGTTCTGAATCTCTAGACTTTGACATGGTCGAGTTGTCTTTTTCTATTTCAAGCTTTCTTTAATCTTCCAGACCTGACTTGTTGGGTTCTTGAGACATTGGGATTCATAGCTGGTCTTCATTTGAATTACACTAAATACAAGTGACTATGGCCCGAAGAGGTATTAGATCCATCTTAATCTGAGCTTGTCCATCAATTAGGCGTACTCTAGATCATTGGTAGAGACTATCGACCCTGGTTGGTCGAGAAACTTTCTTGGGTCATAATGACTAAAAGATAAATGCCCGAGACTCCTGATCATGGCCATAGTGACTAAGAATCTTGATCATGGCCATAATGACTAAGACTCCTGATCATGACCATAGTTGGCTATGAGACCTTGGTTGAGACTCTTGGTCATGACCATAGTGACTGAGAGTCTTGGTTAAGACTCTGAATAATAACCATAGTGACTGAGAGTCTTGGTGATGACCATAGTGACATTGAGAGAGATAATGGTCCAGACTCCTGATCATGACCATAGCGACACAGAGAGAGATAATGGCCAAGACCCCTGATCATGACCATAGTGACACTGAGAGAGATAATGGCCGAGACCCCTGATCATGACCATAGTGACACTGAGAGAGATAATGGCCGAGACTCCTGATCATGACCATAGTGACACTGAGAGATAATGTCCGAGACTCCTGATCATGACCATAGTGACACTGAGAGATAATGGCCGAGACTCCAGATCATGACCATAGTGATTGAGAGTCTTGATCATGCCCATAGTGACTAAGAGTCTTGGTCATGGCCATAGTGACTAAGAGTTTTGGTCATGATCATAGTGACTAAGAGTTTTGGTCATGATCATAGTGAGTAAGAGTCTTGGTTGAGACTCTGGATCATGACCATAGTGACTGAGAGTCTTGATCATGGATGGTTATGAGCTCAATACCTTATCTCAGTCCTAACAGCCTAAGACTTCCATTCTTCTTAATTCCCGACCTTAATTCTGATCACTGTGATTAGAAATTAATCTTTCGCCTCGATGATCATGAGCTGACCCAGAGTTCAAACCTCGGGATTTTTGACCACGTGGCATGATTACTTCGGATTATATTTTAGGTGTTAACAGATATACCCTCCTTTCGATGGGGTAGACTGAAATCCAAATCATTGTTCTCCATGAAGATAAAGAATAATAATACTTATTAAAAAAATAAAAAAAATAAAATAAAAAACCCCAAAGATAAATAATAATAAAATGCTCTTAATAGAATGACAATCTAAACTACAGATATGCAAGACATCATGCCCTAAAATTCTACATGTTTGCATGAGAAATGCCTTTATTCACCTATGTTCACATACAAACTCTGAAACAACTAAACAATAAAGTGGACCATCCCGTATGTAGACAACATGGTTTCCTCAAAATCCCAAGTAAACTATTTTAGCTTAAATTTAATAAGCAACTGAGTGTAAGATCCCTTAATGAGTTACTAGATGATATTACTAATGCCCTTTAATAAATTTCAGATGTGTGTGTAACTTTGTGTGTGTGTGTTTATATATATATATAGAGAGATTGAGTTAGAGTGAAATCAAAAACCTGGTGGAGGAGCTTCTATTCTCGCCGGTGGATGAGTTTGCGGTGGTCAGTGGAGAAATAGAGTGTTTTGGTTTTAGGAGAGGCAGAAAGTGATTTGGGGTCATAGGGGTGGTTTTAGGGTCTGTATACAATCATGTGTTGCTATTTAGCCCAACACAAAAGAACCTAAATATAACCGACTACATACGTGGATAGCCAAGCTTGCAATTTAAGTTGTACGCTTTAGGTTCATCGGAGTTGGAAATATATATACTTTTTTAAAGGGTAATTTGCAGTCACATCTAAGCTCTACTAGGCTGCTCGGACTCGGATAGTCCGAACTGAGCTCTACTAGGCTGCTCGGACTCGGATTGTCCTAACTGAGCTTTATTAGGCTGTTCAAACTCGGATTGTCTAGGCTAGAGATCTGCTCGGGGCTCAGCTAGGATTCAGGCAAGCTTGGCTGGGCCAAGCTCGAGCTCGGCTCGGGCTCGTGAATATATAAATATTTTCATATTTATAAGCCATTTTATGAGAAAAAAAATGGCCACCATCTCCGCTCTATTAATGACCAATATTCTGTAGTCATCCATCATGCCCTTCCTCGGCCTCAAATTCCAACCATCAATATGAAATATCAATTGGATCTTTCTTGTTTACTGAAAATAATAATAATAATAATTCAAAGAAAATTGGTACAAATATGAAAATAATGATCAGATAGAGCTAATACATGAGCCACCATCATACTGGTGATCAAACCAATAGGGAAATAAATCTCCATCATCATCTCATTACTTAACAACCTAAACACACACACACACACACACACACACACACAAAATGCTATACTTCTAATTCTGTTTTGAAAGTAAAATCAGGAGTGCAAGATCAACCAGCAAATATATAATACAATAAATCAAAAACAAAAACAAACACAAAAAAATAAAATAAAATAAAAAATAAAGAGATTGAACAACTAAAATAATGATCAGCTAGAGCTAATACTTGTTACAAGCCATCATATCGGCAATCAAACCAATAGGGAAACAAGTTCATACTCATCATCTCATTCGCTATTACTTTGGAAAATAGATTAACAATAAAATTGAAATGAAGCAAACTACTAATAAAAATAAAAGAAAATTGATATATTTCTATGAGATTAATAAGCTATAAACCTGTTAGAAATTGACAAGACGCAGTGAGAAAATAAAAAGATAATATTTTATAGACGAAACTGATATTTAAGGCCGAACAACAAATTGGGTGATTAAAATAGTTGACCCGTCATTGTTGTTACCTCGAGTGAACGGCCAACGGAAACCCTAATTTACAGTTGCTCAGAATTATCAGCAAGCATCGTTCGATGACCGACCTATGAGCACTAGTGGAGGCGGGGTTTTGTAGGCGAAAATTTAAGGGACAATGTCCTGAAGTGAAACCCTAAAACGAGTATTTATAAGGAAAAAAGTCTAAAATTGGAATAATAATATAAAAAATAAATAAAAACTATAATAAGTTACTCCATCTCGTCTTCGAATTACGAGGCTGTGGACTAGGACTGCAACTCGGGCAGGTTGGATGGGTTTAAGCTATAATTTGAGCATAACCCACTATATAAAATTCTAAACCCGAACACAACCCTAACCTTATTCTCAACATTAACTACCCAACCCATCTTTCTAATTTTAAATTCATGCTTACAACTCGGGCTTAGATTTTAGGTTAATTCGGGTTACTCATATGACTAATCTTTATACCGAAAATTTAATATGATCTTGAATTAATTTTAAATTAAATTACTCTCAAACAAAAAGAAGTTTAAAGACTTTTTGTAGATTTTTAATAAATTACAAACAAATTTTTAGAAAATTAATTCTCCTAAATGTTAACAAACAATAAATTAAGATTTAACAAAAAAAAAAAAAAAAAAAAATTTGAAAAGAAAAAAAATAATTATAGTTTAAATATTATATATAATGTATTTAAAAGTAAAAATATATATATAAATAATATTAGAATTCGGGTTCGGGTTGACTCGGGTTGCTAACACTTCAACCCAAACCCAACCCTAATTAAATTTGGGTTGAGATTTTTCAACCCAAGTTCAACCCTAATTATAAAAATGATTGCCCAAACCCGAAAAAAGTAGGACTGAGCTCGGGTTGGGTTCCGATTACCCAACCCAAGTTGCACCCCTACCGTGGACTGAAGTGAAACCCTAAAATTGGAATAAAAAATAGGAAATGGGGAAAAAAAAATGGTGTAAGGAGAAATTCTAAAATTAGAATTAAAAAAGAAAAAAGAAACCCTAATTTACCGTTGCTCAGAATTAGGATTGTATTCAAGTTAATTTAGAAACAAACTCAATAATTCTTAAAAAAAATTAAAATCGAACTTACCGAATTGTACAAGACCTAGTTCAGTTCAGTTTGATTCGGCTCGATTGAGAACCAACCTCCTACAAAAAATAATGTTAAAAAACACTATTAAAAATTTTCCCAAGCCAATGCTTCTTACAATCGAGATAGTATAAATATTTGAATGTATAACATTAAACAAAAGATGTTGAAAAGTATATAACATATGCAATTATTCATAACAAGAGTATAAAAAAAAGTTTCTCCTAAGTTCATACTTTCTCATAATTCTTTTATATATACAGCTTTTTAAAATGAGAATAGTAACTGATCTGCAAACTAATGAGTTCTTATTTTTTGAATTGAAATCGAACTGAACCATTGTATAGATTTATCAGTTCCAACCATTTTGAGTGATTAAAGAAGGGAGATATTGGGTGTTATGGCCATAATATCAAATAAAAAAATCTTGTGTATTGTGTCTCGAATTCTAATCTAATTAAGTTTTTATTTTAAAGTTATATTTTATTAAGTAATTTTTTATTAGATAAGTGTTGGAATCCAAAGAATTATAATTCTTGTCCAATAAAGTGTTTGGAAGTCTTAATAGAGAGAATGGGAATTAGGAGAGGAGAGAAGAAAAGACTGTGGTTAAGTGCAGAACTTTACAGAAATTGGTGAGTGTATTGGGACGGAAATGATGAGTGAGTGGATAAAACACTGATGGCGAGTAGTGGTAGATCGGAAAGGCTTATATCTAACACCATACATTGAGCAAACAGTGGGCAGATGTTCGAAGTGTCTCCTTGTGTAATTTCTCGTGTGTATACGGTTAAGTCTCGTTGTGTAATTTTTCATGAGACCGTAAAAGAGTTAGCATTCTCTAAATTTAATATAATGAAATTTCTTCTCAAATTCGGATGATATGTGGTTTGATTTTCACTAAATATGAACTTCATAAAAAATAGCTTAAGGTTATGTTGGGTTAAATGAAATTGAAATATTGGAATTGAAATTGGTAGAATTGGAGAAAAATAATTTATAAAATTAAACTAAAATTTTCTTCAATTTTACAAATTCTAATTCTAAAGCTTCAATTTCGAAACCCAACCTAAGTTCTTTTAGAAATCAATGAAAAAAAAGTTATAAAAACAAATAAAAAAAAAGGAAGAGAAGAGAATAGATGAGCAATAATGTTATACGTTATGAAACTTTTGTAAATTATAGTTAATTCGCGTTAAACCTTTCATCACAAATAAACATGAATCCCATAATCTTAGAACTTCATTATTCTCACATATCTATAATGCATAAATAAATATAGTTAAATATAAATATATCGATCTGTAATTGTAAATATCATAGAGATTAAGTCCAACGTCGAGATCCTTTCTGTCAAACAAATAACATGCTAAACTGCAATAGTCAAAACGTGAAAACTGATTTCTCTCTCTTGACTTTTTGCACACATAAAACTTTTACGTGTTGTATTCAATAGCGTACATAACTGATGGGAATATGCATTTTTATAAAGGTAAAGAGAGGAACAGTTTTCTTTTAGTAACTTTAATTCCACTTTCCATCAAAGTATAGAATAAATAAGAAAACACTCCTCCAATAATTAATTAATTTAATGTAATTTATAAGTTAACCAAATAATATAATATTAATCTGATACCTATTTACTTAACCACTAATTAATGAAATATATCACATGTTCAAAACACGTGGGCCACATAATTAATAAATAATCTTACATTCTTTCACTTGGCACATATGATAATTTCTGTAGTGGTTTAGTAAAATAGTCATTAGTGTGCACCATAAATTAGATTGACTCATTAAGTTGGTCATCATAAATACAATGGTAAATAAACTACCAATGCGAGTCATGGCGGTTATATGTCCCTAAATGACACAATCCCTTCCATGTACCAGAACATTAGTAACCTATTTAACATACTCTATAAATGAGAAGTATCAATAATGATCTAACAATAATGATCTAACAATAATGAATTTTTCCATGACTATTCCTTTTACCACTTATTAAAGCAATACGTACATGTACATTAATTAATAGGAAATATCAGAAACACATTTAATGAATGCAAAATGTCAAATATATATAAGCATTGTTAAGCAATTCACAATTAAAAAATAATCAACATTGACTACATTCAAGACCCATTCTTTCAACATGTTCCACAAATGTCTTGGGTTGCAGTCCATTCGCTAATGAATTGCAATCATAAGTGATGTGCTTATATGTTCGATAGACATTCGTTGTTTCTAAATATCTTCTTTAATGATAAAGTATTTCAACTTTATAACACCTATCATTTTTAATACAAGAAGATCAATAATTGCAGCATAAATTTTCAGCAATTTGAAAAAAATGGTACCCATGACTTTATATCCTGAAATAAATTCTGCAATCATAAATCATAATCTCAAAGCATGCTACAAATTACAAAATTTATAATAGACAAAATAATAATAAATTACTTTACACTTTTCCATAATATTGTTTCTCCAGCCAAAAAGAACTAATAACTAATTAAGAATGTCTTCCCAAGTGTGAGCATATAATCTTTTATCCCCTACCAACTTGTATATACATCAAATTCCACTATATGTGTATAAGGAATATTTTTCGTTTCTTCACTTTCTATCTAACTAACTCATTCTTTGGGATTGTATTAGGCTGAATTTATCCCCTTTTATATATGGAGCAATACTGTTTGAACAATGTTCCATATCAAATATTTCTACAACTCTTTCAATATATGCTTTCTGAGACAATCCTAAAAATCCACGTGATTTATCATGAAATATTTTTATTCCTATCATGTATAATGTCTCATCCATATCTTTCATTTCAAAGTTCTTAAAAATAACTTTTAGTTTCATATAATAAACTAAGATCACTACTAGTAAACAAAATATCATCAATATATATAGAATCATAAATATAAATTTACTTCCACTAACCTTCTGGTTTATACATCAATCAACAATGTTTTCCTTAAAACTAAAAGAAATAATGATATCATTTAACTTAATATACCATTGTCGGTAAGCTTGTTTAAGTTCATATATTGACATCTTAAGTTTACAGACCATGTATGCTTTACTCTATAATGTGAAGCCTTCAGGTTGTTTCATATGAACTCCTCTTTCTAAACCCTATCCAGAAAATCAATCAAAATCAAATTCTTGTAGATATACCACATAGTCATTCGGAATAGCAGATCTCTTTTTTGAGATCGTCTTAATGTTATTCCTTGTGGTTCTTTTATAATCTATTCATTGATGACAATCTTATCATGGAGTTATTGATCATTCAATTATTCTTCAGTTGTTAAACCGTATAACAATTGAAGGAACAATTATTTCTTTAAAAGTTATAAGTAAAGAGATTTGTACCCTAACTTCTAGAATGATCACATTCTTATTTTTATCACTCCCACTGATTTCACTATTCTCAATGAATCTGACATTACCGGTTTCAATAATTATCGTACTATGTTTAGGATAGTAAAACTTGTACCCTTTAGATTACTTAATATCCACAACATTATGGGTAACGAAGAATTACTTAACATTGTACGATTACGTCTTTCAGTACACTTCTTCTGTGACATTCCTAGCAAAGTGTATTGAGCACAAATGTTATATATTTTAAGGAGTTTAGTAAACGGTTAGAGTATTAACCTATTTCATCATACTTTCCATAATATTCACCACCTCTATATGAACTTATGATTTCCACTTTTCTATCTAGTTGTTTTTCAACCTCATTTATATATATTTCAAGAATACCCACTGTTTGAGATTTTTCATGCAACAAATAAATATATCCATAATGTGAAAAATCAACTATAAAGGCGATAAAATACTTTCTCCTCCAAAAGATAGAACATCAGAAAGTCTACAAATGTCTGTATGAATAATTTCAAGAAGCTCTGAACCTCTTGTGGCTCATTTTTTTTTATGTGTTTGGTTTATTTACCCTTAATACAATCTACACACAACAAAATTAATAAATCTATATTCAAAAAAATCACATCATT